CGCGAGCTCCCAGCCTGCGCAACAACAGACCCAGGAAGCAAGGTAGCTGCGCGGGCACCCTTGAAACACCCACACGATGCCCCCCCCGTTCTCAAAGCTCCTGATCGGGCCAGTCCTTAGACCAACTCTACAGAGGCATAGGTTCCCATGAAGGGTAGTTTTCTGAGCTCCCAATTTTGAACATCTTTAAAGAAAGGGCAGGGGAAACCTGTAATAGAACTGAGTGGAGTTCTACCCTGAGGGTAAGGAAACTAAAGTTAGGCCTTGTAGATTGTGTTCAGTCTCAGTCGTGAGGAACAGCCATTGGCTTACTAAGACCAGGGGAGTGGGTTCCACATATGGCTGTGCATGTGGTATAATATGAGATCAGAGATAGCCTGAAAGAGGAACTTCAAATTATTTTTCTTTCTCTCTCTCTTTTCTCTTTTTTCCTCATTCCACGCTAAAATTTCTTTCTTTTTTCCTGCTCTCTCTCTCCAACTCAGTCTCTTGCTCCACCATATTGTCCCTCATCTCCCTTTTTATTCCAGCTCCTGAACAACTCAGACTTTTTCTTTTATTATTTTTTGTTTGTAGGAGGGGTTTCTCTTTATGTTCTTTTCTCCAGTCATTTTACCTCACTCATGGCTCTGTACCTTCAAGGGAAGGCAAGCGCCTGTTACTGTTAAGGGGATATATTCCTGTCCTTATTCCTGCACTCTCTCTATCCCCCCTGAACTTAATAGCTTTGTAAAGATAGTAAGGTAATTCTACAACCTCTGGATTCACTTCAAACCTGCTCTAATTCTTTCACTTATCTAATCCTCTTGTTCTAAGTCGAACCCCCCATCCTAAATGGTAAAGATGCCATATTGAAAAGAATATTCACTGCAAACATACTATGAGCTGCTTCTTGAAATTAATCTAATTCACATGAGTTAAAGGTGATACATTAATGACTACCATAAGTGGTCAGTTGGCAAGCTGTGCCTGATCCTATTGGGCTGCTGAATGTATCAATTGGGACAAAGAGTGGTGATTGATTTAAAGAGTTGTTTTCTCTGATATTATGAAAACGAGAATGTCTATGAGTCATAAGATACTCAAAAGCTAAAACGCAACTATATTAGGAAGATTTAAGTAATACCCAGAAATTAAAGAAGGACAACCCAACAATAAAAATAAAAATGAGAAAACACTTAAGCAAGACACAAAAACAAATATCCAGTTCACCAATAGCAAATAGTAGGACAAATGAGGATGAAAAGTCTGATAGTGAACCAACAGGACTCCCTGGACCCATAGCACAGGAGGTAACAAAATTGATCAATCAGGCTCTAGAAAAATTCAAATCAGAAATAATTTCCCAGCTAGCCAGAGAG